GATTTTCCTTTGCTTTTGAAAATATAATTATGAAACACCAGAATTTTTTATTAACATTGCCAAGTGCTCAGAAATAATTCCTAGTTAAGGGTCTTGTAGATTCTAATCATCTTTTTGTTTATAAGCAATCTTTTGATTTCCTTTTATCTTTACATGTTAATTATTAGTAGTATAATTAAAATGGTTTCCTTTGTATAGAAATAAGGGGATGAAATGATACCATGCATTTCAGAAAAAGAATAAAACTAAAACTGTAAACTTGTTTCTCTTCTGCTGTTTTTCCTGTAGATATCTCCCCTTCTAAAAAGCAGTATTGTTAAGTTTGGTTTGTTTTAATACAGGTATTTTCTGTATAATATATATTTTTCTCTTAATGAAAACGGAATTTGATTATTATTATTTTAGACATTTTAAAGATGCAATATTCTTTTAAGAATAAAACTAAAAAGTCGATTTCATAATTTTAAATATTACACACATTTGTAAATATGAAATAAAATTTCTGTATTTTTTTAAGGCGCTTTTCATCACTAATGTGGGAAGTACGATATATAGAACATAATACACGAACATTTAATGAGCCAGGAAGCCCAATTGTGAAGTCTGCTAAATTTGTGACTGATCTTCTTCTGCATTTTATAAAGTGAGTTACATATTCATGCTTCAGTATAATAGTTCTAATAATTAATGACATGATTACAAAATGTGAAATAATTTAAAGTATAAAGTGCTAAAATGTAAACTGCAGTCATCTTTTGCATAGGTGATGTCACATAAGCATAGTTCCTCTTTTAAAGTAGAAAACCTTATTGTGAAATTTACGCTAGGCTTAATAGCACTTGCCTTATGTCCCAGAACTTAGGGAGGCAGAAAGAATGAATCAGTGTGACTTTGAAGAACTTCCAAGTTCCAGGCCAGGCAGGGTTTTATGGTAAGGTCCTGTCTCAGAAAAGAAATGAAAAATAAAATCACTTGTAAACTGTAGTCTTAAAATCATTATTACTTTACATATGTATTTATGGATGCCCTTAGCTTCGCAAATGTGCATGTACCACATGCATGCTGTACCCACAGAAGAAGGTGTTGAGTCTGAACTAGAGTAACAAGTGGATTTTAGCTGCCATGTGAGTGTTGAGAACCAAACCAGCGTTCTCAAGATCAGCAAGTGTTCTTAACCACTGAACTGTCTTTCTAGCTTCCAATATGAAACTCTGCCATTTTATTTGAGATCTTTCATTTTAACATTATACACTTAAGTATCAAATTAATTAATAAAATATTAGGCAATAGTGTAGGGTACTGAATTTGAATTTTCAAAATTGTCGTCTTAGCTATTTGGAAGGCTGGGACAAAATTGAGAATGGCCATATTAAGAGACACTTTTCTTTCTTATGTATTGTTTTGGCTTGCCTTGAATTCATAGATCTGCCTGCCTTTGCCTCCGTAGGTTGGGATGAACTACCATACCCACCTTAGGAGACATCTCAAGTAGAAAAAAAAAATTTCTTTCACAAAGTTTGTATTCTAATTCATCCCTCCCATAAATTAGTACGAGAATTAACTACCATTTAAGGCAGAAATACCTTTTTTCCCCTTACTCAGCTATTATGTAGCCTTTGAATGAACTGCGCCATAGAAATTGAAGCCAGCTGCTTAACTCGGCTTTTGGTAGAAAAGACTGTTCCAGTTGCTTACTAATGTCCTATTTATGTTGGGGATTTTTCACCCCAGTTTAAAAAGAGTTAGTACTGTATTTTAAAAGCTCACACAGCTACAAATAGCTTTCATTTTTATATAGTAATGGAAATATCCAAGCAATATCTAGTGGTTCTCAACTCACAGGTTGAAAGTCAATATCAGATATCCTGCATATCAGATACTTGCATTGTGACTCATACCCATAACAAAATTATAGTTATGAAGTAGTAACAAAATAATTTTACAGTTGGAATCACCACTACATGAGCAACTGTATGAAAGGGTCACAGCATTAGAAAGGTTGGGGATTATTGTTTTAAACAAATTTTTTTTAACGTAACCCTAGGTTTCATCCATTACCCTGAAATCAGTGGCAGTTTTGCTGGGTTACACATATTATACAGTATTGTTACTGTACAATAACTAAATGATAAGTAATTTGATTTAGTTACACTGTACTACACCATGAGACCCCATTTCAAAAGCATTCTGTGACTTTCTCTTTGTGATCTTTTTTGGGGGGGACTTTTACCATCATTTTACCTTACCTTTCTTGAGTGAAGTTAGTCACATGCATTGATTACCTGGGAAATTCTTACCTATGATACCTTTTTCAAACTGTCTATAAAATTATATAATAACAAATGTATTTAAATGAAATATTCAGTATTTAAATGAACATTTAACATCAAATATTTAGATTTAATGCTATGGCTACTTAAATGAAGGAAAAGATTTGGATTAGTCCATGAAAGCACATTTCATTCAAATTGTAACTGGAGATATAGCTTACTGATTGAGCGCTATACTAGTTTTTGGAAGACCCTAAGTTCTGATACCACTACCACCAAGAAAAAAAGGTCATGTTATTATCTTAAAATGAAAGCTAATATGGATATAAAGAATTCACTTATTTATTTATTCATTCATTGTTTTGTTTTGTTTTTTGAGACAGGGTTTTTTTTTTTTTTTTTTTTTTTTTTTTTTTTTTTTTTTTTTTTTTTTGTGTAGCCTTTGCTGTCCTGGAACTTGCTCTGTAGACAAGGCTGGTCTTGATTTCTGAGAGATCTACATGCCTCTGCCTTCTGAATTCTGGTATTAAAGGCAAGTGCCACCATTGCCTGGCAGATTTAAAGAATTTATGTTGCCTATCTCTGAAATTAACTGACTGTTACTTTTAAAATTTGTTGCTAATAGCTTTTAAAATAGGTAGGCTTTGAAATTTTGATTTATTTTTCAGTTGATTGTTAAGCAAAATTATACATACAAAATGATATAATAACACTTGGTGATAAATTACCATACTTTACTTTTGTAATAGAGTTTTATATGATAGATAAACATTGCTAAAATTTAATGAAAATAGGCTAATAAAGAGAATTATGAAAAATAATGATAGAGGATAATCCAGTACATAGTAGAATGTTAAGATTACAAACAAGACTGAATTCAGGAGAAGTTAGGTTAGAGAAAAGTCATTCCAGGGATAAGAGATAGGATTATGTGAGCTGACATAAATTACTAACAGTGATTTGATGTGGCCAGTAAGATGGCTTAGCAAATAAGAAACTCGCTGCCTAGTGTAACAATCCAATTCCAAGTGCTGACAAGGTGTAAGGTGAGGAGAGAAAACCACAGGTTGTCTTTTGTCATCCTTATGTATACCATAGCATGTGTGTGCCTCCTTCACTTCAGCTGATGGGCTGTAGGTTTCTTGTTTTGCTTTGTTTTTGTTTTGTTTTGAGAAATGAATCAGTGGAGTAGAGATTATGAGTGAAGTAGTAGGGCATGGCTATACTGTTGGCTTGGAACAGTCTTTGATTGCCAACTTAAGGAATTAAGGTTTTTTAAAGATTTGCCTTTGTTGTGTCTGTCTGTGTCTGTGAGGGTATGTTTATGCAAATGCCCGTCTGCTCAGAGAGACATCAGATATTCTGGAGCTGGAGTTACAGGCAGTTGTAAACTGATGGAAACTAAACTCTGGTTCTTTGGAAGAACAGTATGCACTCTTAACTAATGAGCCATCTCTTCAACTATTAGGAAATAGGCTTCTGAAATATGAGTTCTGAAAGCAAATACATATTAAAAATATTTTGTTATGCATAGTTTCATTTACATTATACCTTAAAATATTCATTTCAGTATAATATCTTCTAGTAAAACCTACAGACAAGACAAGGTGAAAAGCATAAAAAGCTGGTATTGTGGGTAAACAACTGATAGTTTATGGAAATGAGAAAAGGGAAGAGTCCAAGAATGTGAGGATAGAATTCGTGGTAGCAGACCATTAGCTGAGTTTTCAAGAGACAGGGATAGTTAAAATCTGAGAAGTCTCATGACTATAAAAATGGTATGCTGTTTAAAAAAAAAAAAGTGAGAGACAATAGTAGAAGAGAGTAGTAGGTTGTGGAAGTTAAGTAGAGAAAGGAAGTTGTAGGTGATGCTGACAGAAGGAGAAAACTAAAGACAATGTTTTATGGAATATATTCACTTGAGATGGACAGTAACAGGAATTGGAAGGCAGGATATATTAACTTTACCTTGAAGATCCAAGAATAGATAATAACCAGGCACAGTGGTGAGCTGAGCAAAATTGAGACATGAATCAAATGTATATGGATATTGTATTATAGTCAACAAAGAGCAAAATTTGTTAGGCTTTAAGTTTTTATCCTAAAATCTGGTTTTAGGAACAATTTCTTAAGACATAGCTCTAATCAGATATCAACATTTTATTTTATTGCTTAGGGATCAGACTTGTTATAACATAATTCCACTTTACAACTCAATGAAGAAGAAAGTTTTGTCTGACTCAGAGGTATGTAACTTATTTCACTATAATTGCTATAGTAAGTAACATTACATATTATAGTATACTAAGTAAAATTTACATGTAATAGTTTTTATATTAAAATTGTTAGAAAATTGCTTTTACCAGTATTATATTGTTAACTTTTGCTATCATATTTAGAATTTACTTGAGATTGAAAATTTTTAATGGAAGATTTTGCTGAATCAGTCAAGTGCCATAATAATATGCGTTATGATTTTTCTAAAGAGTGAAAGGAATAGCTACCAAGTGATGAGGTCTAGGATGTTTCATGAATTGGATGTTTTATTTCCTCGTAGGAAGAAGAGAAAGATGCTGATGGACCAGGAACTTCTACCCGGAAAAGGAAGGTAACGGCATTGTGGTTTTAATTGCTTTTTGTTTGTTTGTTTGTTTGTTTTTTTGTTAACAGAAGTATTTTTGTTGTATTAAAGTGTACAAAAAGCTTTTTTCTAAATAATTTTCCAAGAAAGGTTAGTATTTTATATGAGTTTTAAATTTCTAATCTGAAAACATGACATTCAAAGTGCTCAAAAACCTAAATTTTGAGTACTGAGAAAAAAAAGTTTCTTGTTTTTGTTTTCAGATTTTGATTAGTATTCCTCAGTGTTAATCTATGCACATATTACAAAACAAAAAAGACTTTTTTCTGACTTTTCATGTCAGAAATGCCCAGTGTATGCTAACTACCTAAGATTGTACTAAAAGCACAAATCAGTCTAGTGTGATACCTCAGTTAATAGAGTGCTTGCTCTGCAGCCTTTAAGACCTGAGTTTAATCCCCAGTACCCACAGAAATCCAGATGTGTAGCTCAGTGTAATCACAGTGCTGGAAAGGTGACGACACTTGCTAGCCAGTGAGCCCAGTGGTTCTGTGAAATACCCTAAACAAACAAGGTTTTCAATGGTTAAGACAGCACTCAGTTTGGTTCTCAGCCCCGTCTTGGGCCGTTAACAACTACTTCAGCTTTAGAGTGTATTTTGATTCCATCCAGCCTTTGCTGGCACCTATGCCTACATGCACATACCCACCTCACATGCCATTATTAAAAATAAAATCAGTCTATGGGCATGATGACATGCCCTTAATCTGAGCACCAAAGAGGTAGATCTCAGCCTGGTTTAAGTAGTAAGTTGTAAGTAGTAAGTTGTAGGCCAGCCCGGACAGTGTAGAAGAGTCCATCTCAGATACACAAACAAATTAATGCAAATTAATACTTTGAAATGAAAACACAGTTGATGGCTCTTATCAGATGTCTTATCACATAGACCTCACATGTGGGTGCGAGCACACATAGCAGGTGAGTGAGTGAGTGAGTGAGTGAGTGAGTGAAAGAACAAGTTTTGTTGCATAATAGCTGTTAATAATAAACTTATTTTTTATTTCAGGATCATCAGCCTAGAAGAAGGTTACGCAACAGAGCTCAGTCTTATGATATTCAAGCATGGAAAAAACAATGTCAAGAATTATTAAATCTCATATTTCAATGTGAAGATTCAGAGCCTTTTCGACAGCCAGTAGATCTTCTTGAATATCCAGTAAGGATTTCTAAGATTTCTTTGACACAGCTTTTTTATTACTGTGCTTCATTTCCTCATTAGTTCATACATGTTCTCATTACCTATTCAGTTACAAAGAACTCTTAAATTGGAAAGTATAGTAAAATGAAAAGAGACCTAAAATATGCCTGTAAAGAACTGGCTTATATGCTTCTAGCTATTCTATTACCAGTTTTATAACTTAGAGTAAGCCACTTAATTTTCCCATATATTTTTTTTTAACTAATTTTTTAACTACTTGTGTTAGTTTGCTTTTGAATTGATGTGGCAAACACCAAGACCAAAAGCAACCTTGGGAGAAAAGGGTTTATTTAACTTACAAAATAGAGCCCATTATTAAGGGAAGCTGGGGCTGTAACTGAAACAAAAACTCATGAGGAATGCTCCTTATTGGCTTGCTCGGTTACCTTTCTTATACGACCTAGGACCATCTGCACAGGGTTAGCACCACTGAGGGTTGGACCATTCCTCATCCTCCATCCCCTACAGACCTCTAACTGTGCAAGTTTGATGGAAGCAAATCTTCAACTGACTTACCTCTTCCAAGATAATCTACCTTGTGTCAAGTTGACTACTACTATCCTACTACCACTGTTACTACTACTACTAATAATAAATTACCAGCACAACTCCTTACTTCTTCATATTAATTCTAAGGACGTAAAACTATTATCTCATGGATTTATGGTGATGTAATTAAAATTATTTTATATATGTCATGGATGGTTGATACCCTTGGGAGGCTTGCCCTTTTCAGAAGAGAAACAAAGGAGGAATGGATTAGGGTAAGAGTAGGGCGATTTGCGGTCAGAATGTAAAAAACAAAAAGACTATCACTAATTTCATTCATTCATTCATTCATTCATTCATTCATTTATTTATTTATTTATTTATTTTTAGATTTATTTATGCATATAAGCACTCTTATTTCTATATTTGCCTACATGGCAGAAGAGAACATCGGATCCCTTTATAGATGGTTGTGAGCCACCACGTGGTTGCTGGGAATTGAACTCAGGACTCTGGAAGAGCAAACAGTACTCTTAACTGCTGAGCCATCTGTCCAGCCCGAGACTGTCACTATTAAAAAATACGTATTTAGGTAACATCAGTATATGAGCTTTAGGGAAATAGGTAGTTAAAAGTGTTGAGATTATATGATTCAGCTATTCATAATTGCATACAGACATAGAGATGTCAATTTAGGTTGAAGTGATATTAAAAACATCTTCTAGTTATGGATTCAAGATTGTACAGATTATATGCCATCACAACCTAAATAGAATTTCATCTACATTTTTTTATATAGGCATCTTAATTAGAAATGATGAGTATAGACAAGTGTTGAGAGATACCATAAGGTTTTTTATTTTCCAAAACCAGAAATAGGTTCATTAAGTGTGCAAGACAAATGTTTAGGTATAACAGTGTAGTATCTTCTGTTAGTATGAAACTCACCTTCCCAGAATTTCAGAATTGAGTTTCTACTGTATACAGCACTCAGATTTTCAGAAGCTAGGCTTCCCTTAATTTCCTACAAGTCCCTGTAGTTTTAAAGCCGTGAGTTACAATTTACTTGTCCTATTAATTGTTTGTATTTTGAGCCTTAATGTTTTTATTCTGGAGATATTAAATATTAGCCTTCTGCAGAAATAAATAGGCCTTGTTCCATACTTAGGAAAGAATTTAGACCCAAGAACCCATTCTAAACCAACTGAGAGATTTGCACACTAATTAAAGATCTAGAATAATACATTCCACAACAAATGTCATTCAAACAAATGTCATTCTTAGCTCTGGTGTGAGAGAGAGATCTCCTTTAAAGCATATGCCATTTAAAGGGCTTAGACTCTAAATGTGTACTATTTTGGTATAGAAAATGAAATTATAAAACCTCTTCATTTAGCACATGGGAAAGATTAGAAAAAAATAAAATGAACAAATGGGGAAAAAAAAAAACCTAATATTCATTGAAGTCATTGGGAAAGTGTGTTTCTAACCATAATGAAATTATCAGCAGGAAAATCTCCGAGGTAGATCAGAGTGGCCTGGAACTCATTTCCTTTTGCTCTGCCTCAGAAGTGCTAGATGATAACATACAGCACTACCAAATTAGGCTGTGCATATACTTGTACACAGTCAGTAGATCAAATCAGTGTGTGGTCAGTGTCAACATTTGTGTGATGAACTTAAAATGGTCTAAAACTAGTGTATAGTAAGTAGAATCAGATCTCTGGAAATCTGTGTGTGCTCACTTCTCAGCATAGTAAAGGAAGAGTGAAAGGAAAAGGAAAAGGCTATTGTACTCAAATAACCAAAAGCTGAAGTCGTGCTGTTGAAAAGGGGCAACACTCTGTACTACTAAATTTTTCACACTGTACTTACTAGTAGCTCCGTTTCATTCCATCTTGTTGCTTTATTGTTTTTATCCAGTTCACTTCTTATATGAAAAGTGTAGGCTTTCTGACATCTATTTATAGTTATTATTATTGTTTATCACAAAAATACCTATTTGTTAAATTCTGAAACTTGAAATTACTGTGACTTGAGCCTCTGTGTAGATGGGATGTCTTGGGGAGTTTGAGATCTATTTTTGTCCTAAGTTTATGTGTACCACATGTTTGCCTGGTGCTTACAGAGTTCAAAGGAGGGCATTGGATCCCCAGAGCTCAAATTAAAGGATGGTCATAAGCCACCATGTGGGTGCTGGAAAGTGAGCACTGGTCCTCTGCAAGAGCTACAAGTGCTCTTACCTACTGAGCCATCTCTCCAGCTCCACTTTGATTATGTTTCTTCATTTTATAGTGTTTCCATGAGTCAACATTCATTAGATTTCTAGGTAGGCTGAAGTTTTTCGGTTTTTAATGTTTTGTTTTTACAAATGATTATTACTAGTTCTGTAACTTATAAAAATCCTGTGAGTTCTTATGCTGTAAAATGATACTTTCCTAGTAGTAATAAGACTGCTTGTTTCCTTCTCTCCTAGGACTACAGAGACATCATTGACACTCCAATGGACTTTGCTACTGTCAGAGAAACTTTAGAGGCTGGGAATTATGAGTCACCAATGGAGCTATGTAAAGATGTCAGGCTCATCTTTAGTAATTCTAAAGCATATACACCAAGCAAAAGATCAAGGGTAGATTATCAAATTGTTTTTATTTTGCTAAAACAGTGTCAACTCTAAATGTTTTTACTTAAATGGAGCAAAATTAACTGTCTATTATGTTGGCAGTATTAATGATCATGTATTACTTTCTACTGTGCTTTTGTGTGTGTGTGTGAGAGAGAGAGAGAGAGATTCAGACAGTGATATCATTCAAACACTGACTCAGTTCAGGAATAGTTGCCTTTTTAAAGGTAGTATGATTATTGTCTTGTTAAGTCCTACAACAGTGAAGAGATCATACTGATAATAGTCCTAGCAAGTGAAGTGAACTAGTTTCTAACCCTTGGGGCTAGTTTGAGAATGACAGAATTCATAATGAGGAATATTGCCACTCTCCCAACAAGAATTTTTCTGTTATAGATCTCAAATAATGTCTAAACTAAAAATAGTTAATTTTAAAAATGTTTTAGTTTACTTTCCATCAGAAGAGATCAAAAAAATTCAAACAACAGCTTTTAAATTCTAGAAAATTTAACTAGAAAAATATTTACAATTTACTAAATAGGCATTTTCTTTTGGGAAATATTTCACCTGTTTTGTGGATATTTTTTCTCTGTAGATTTACAGCATGAGTTTACGCCTGTCTGCTTTCTTTGAAGAACATATTAGTTCAGTTTTGTCAGATTATAAGTCTGCCCTTCGTTTTCATCAAAGAAATACCATAACCAAAAGAAGGAAGAAACGAAATAGAAGCAGCTCCCTTTCCAGCAGCGCTGCATCAAGGTACTTAGTTCCTTTTAAATGACTCAGACTAATCTTAAACTTTGTCATCTAAATGGTAGAACTTGGTGGTTTTTAATGCTTCCTTTACTATTCCCTATATTGCAGAATGATATATTTGACATGCAAGTTCCTATGATGTGGAGGATTTTTAATCTTTTAAACTAAAGCTTTTCTAGTGTAAGTGCTTAAATTCAAACTGCTAAATCTATACAGTAAAACAGCATTTTTAGGATAGTGTTGGCATCATGCTTTCTGTCATATAACTGTAACATTTACGATGATCCTTCACTAAATATTCACTTTCCAAAGGCTCACAACCATATGAAATCCACTACAAATCTCATATTTTAACATATTTCATAATAGTATAAGTATTGAATTCAGCTGTATTATAAAAGTTTAAAATTTAAAATATATGTGGAGAATTGTTAAGAATGACTAATAATGTCATCTAATCTTATTTACAGCCCTGAAAGGAAAAAAAGGATTTTAAAACCCCAGCTGAAGCCAGAAATAGCTACCTCTCCATTCTCTGTACCTACGCGATCAGTACTACCAAGGCATAATGCTGCTCAGATAAATGGTAAACCAGAATCCAATTCTGTTGTTCGAACCAGGAGCAACCGAGTGGCGGTAGATCCGGTTATCAATGAGCAGCCATCCACATCATCTGCCACAAAAGCTTTTACTTCAAAAACTAATGCATCTGCCATGCCAGGAAAAACAAGTAAGACTTAGTCACATTTTCTACAGCAAGGTCTTATTTTTCCTTAAAAGAAAACTTGATTTTTATGTGGGCTTTAGTAATTAACCTAAAGCCGCTGATTATGTTTTCTTCATTGCTTTTCTTCTTTTGGAAAAATGAAAGGCTACAAGAAAACTTTAATAAGTGCAGGCCAACTAGAAGCTTTCATCTCAGCTCTTTTAGTCTTTTCTCACTAGAAGGTAGATTCCTGGGCTTGTCTAGTATGAATGGGTCCCTGGTTACATTCCAGCACTACAAAAAAGAAAGATTTTGTAAGGAAGCTTTAAGTATCACTCCGTTTTGTCCTCTTTTCTAATTGAGGTAGTTCAGGTTAATACCAATCCCAGACGTTTGCTTACCCTTGAGTTCAACAAGTCGTAGCTTCTGATCTTTTTACATTTGTGTTTTAGTGCTAGAGAATTCTGTGAAACATTCCAAAGCCTTGAGTACACTTTCAAGTCCTAGTCAACCCACATTTGGCCATGGTACGAGGAATAATTCTGCAAAAGAAAACATGGAAAAGGAAAAGCCTGTCAAACGTAAAATGAAGTCTTCTGTACTCTCAAAAGCATCCATGCTTCCAAAGTCATCGGCTGTCATTGATCAAGGTAAACTGTTACATTTGGGTGTGATAGTGCATGGCTGTGGACAGACTGAGACAGGAAGATCATAGATCCATCTTCTTTCTTTGGATGGTCTTCCCCCCACCCGTCTCTTCTCTCCTGTTTTTTCTCCTGTTACCCTTTGAACTCAATATACCATCTCTAGGATCCTTTAAATTTTTTTCTCATTTTATATGTGTAGGTGTTTTGTCTTTATGTATGTCTATGAGAAAGGTGCATACGATGCCTATGGAGGTTAGAAGAGGGAATCAAATCCCCAGAAACTGGAGTTAGGAATAGTTATGAACCACTTTGTGGATTCTGGGAATCAAACCCCAGGTCCTGTGGAAGACAAGCATTTTTAACCTGTGAGACATCTCTCCAGCTCAATTTTTAATTTTTTAATCAACTTAACTTGCCGTAGTTGGATAAATGTTTTAATAAACAAACAAATGAGTTTGACCATGACAGTTTTGCATTTCTTAATTTTTTTTTAATTTTTGAAATTTTATATATTTGTGCAATGTATTTTGGTCATAGTCATTACTTCCCCCATGAACTCCCACGATTGCTCTCCATGTCTCACTCCATATTCTCTTCTTTTGTTATTAATACCCAAAGTCCAGTTAATACTGCCATTATTCACATGGGTTTGGGGCCACCTCCTAAAGCATGGACCATACACTCCTCAGACACATCTTCAGTGAAAGTGGTTGGTCTTCCCTCATCAGCCCTGAACTGCCAGTAGCTACTTTGCCACGCATGGAGTCTCAGGTTCTCCTACCCCATTCAGGTTGAGATTTTGACTGACTTTATCTTATGTTGATAACCACAGCTACTGTGAGTTGATGTGTATAACAGCCATGTTATGTCCATAAGTCTGTCACCTTCCTTCTCTTCCCCCAGCTCTTAGATTGTTTTTGCCCCTTTGCCTTGATTGAGCAGAGGTTAGTGTAGATGATTCATCCACAGCTGAGCAATCAATTATACTCTGCACTCCTATCTAGAAAGGAGTCTTAGCACTTACCACTACCCACTGAGGAGAGCAGCTTCTCCAACCAAAGTTTATAGCAACACACATCTATAGGTATAAATGTAGATAGATATTTAGTAGAAAGCCATTTGACAGTATGACCATCTAGCCAAAAGCACCAACAAACAGCCTGTTCACTCGCCTAGTGTGTACAGTCTCCCTAAATCATGGGCTTTGGGTGGGGGGGTTGGCAAGAAATAAACAGGCCTTCTCTCCACTTAGAGATGGTTGGTTACCCTGTAAAAAACAAGACATTATTGTACCAGTAGACACACGTTGCCTGGCAGTTTGGTATTGTGTATATAGGCTCCAACTCTTACTTGAGACAGTTGTGTTTTCTTTCCCTGCAGGTTGTGTAACACCTTTTGGTACTACATAAGAATAGGCAGCAGGGAGAGAGTTTGGGGATCAGTTGCAGTTTATTTCCTGTATCCAAAGTGAGGAATGACTTCATGAATAGACTCTTCACCTCTAGTTGTGGTGGGCAACCAAGATCAATGGAAAATGGCTTGTGTTGTTTAGGTGCTTCCAGGCTCTCCCTTACCCTTGAGACCAACACTGAGACTCCCATGTCTTCTAGGAGCAATAGTAGCCACTCATGCATGGTTCTTTTCAGTTTCTTCTTTTTAAAATAAGGTTAATAAAATAAAACCTGATAAAATTAGGTTTTAAAAAAGCAGTGGATTTCCTTCAGGCTTTACATATATCCTTAGTTTGGAATAACCTACTCCCAACCTCTTCCCAGTCCTCCTGTGTCCACTTACATTTTTAATTCCAAATATTCTCCTTTCTCTTCTTTCATAAGGCTTGTTGTGGTATGTTCCCTCTAATTTTTTTCTTAACTTTTCTGACTAGTTTTGGTTTGAGCTTCATTTTGTCAGGTATTAGAATACCAAGTATTAGCATGGTGGCGCATACCTGTAATTACAGCACTCAGGGAGGCAGCAGCAGCCAGGTCTCTCTGAGTTTGAGGCCAGCCTGGTTTACAAAGTGAGTCCAGGATGGCCAAGGTTACAACAGAGAAATCATGTCTCAAACAACAACAAAAGAATACTAATTATTGTTTCCTAATTATATTTGCCTGGAACACATATTTTTCTGTCCTTTCATGGAACTGTTTTGTAACCAGTTTGCTAGTCTATTCTTTTAAATAGGGAGTGGAGGTATTGATATTCAGAGTTATTATTCAAAGTTCTATCTGTATTCATATCATTTTATTATTTGATTAGTTGGTTTTGGGTTTTGGTGTTTTCTTGAACTTTTTAGGTTTAATGATTTCATTCTGGGAAGTTGTGATTTCTCTTTCCAATATTAGATTTGCTACACATTATAATCCACATTGACAGCTTCAGACTTTCAGAAATTGGAATATATCTTTGTGGGACCCTCTGCCTATATAAACTCCTCAGTTGAATAATTATGTGTTATTTTGATGGACCTGCCTTCATACATGACTTGACCTTTCTCTCTACTGCATCCTTATTTTGTGTTTTCAGTGTTTTGATACCATGTGATGGAGTAGTGTTCTTTTTATGGTCCTTTCTATTTGGTGTTCTGTTAGGCCTCTTCTTGTACCTCTATGTTTAGGAAATTTTCTTCTGTGATTTTTCTGGAAAACTTAGCATGGTATTCCTTTGTCATCATAGTTTGAATGTCAGATCTTTTTACAGTCTCTCAAAAAAAGAGGAAATTAAAAAGTTATATGTGTATATAATTGACCTTTGCTGAGTGATCAAATTCCTCTGCTCATGTCTTAGTTTATTTCTTTTATCAACTGTCTTCATGGAAAGCAAAAGGGTACACAGACCTCAGGCAATTTGTTTGGTAGAAACAACTTACTTTATGCACATTCCCACATATTTTCTACCATACCCTCAACCCGCAAAATTGTTTATGGGAAGTTTCTAATTTTTCCCTCTCTTTGCTCCCTGTGCTGTGATTTGTTGGATTTCTTAGCTTTTTAGCATGGAATTTGTTAACAGTAATATTTTTAACCAAGATAATTTATGGTGGTCCACATGACAGGATTTATATGATGTCCGTATTGTATGATTACAGATTATCATTTGTCATTCAATTACATAGAGAGCTAGAATATTTGAATAGCATATAAAAAATTTCTTTTATTTTCAGTGTTAACAGTATATATCTATGGATGTACACATAAGTGTCTGCATGTGGAGGCCAGCAGTTAATGTTAAGTGTTTTTTAATTTCTCATCTTATATTTTGAGACAGGACCTCTGTACCTTGACTGTCCCACTTGGTGAGGTTGGTGTCCAGAGATCCAGGGTCTCCTGGACTTTGTTTCCCCAGCTGTTGGACTCAAGTTAGTGGTTCCTGGAGATCCAAGCTTAAGTCATGATGTTTGCACACAAAGCAAGCACTTAACCAACTGATCCACTTTTGCAACCCTCGGTTGTTGTTTTATTTCTTAATCCTCTTTAAACAGTTCTGAGAACACAGTTTATAATCAAATATAACTTATTTATAAGTTTATAAATCAGAGTAGGTATAGGGTATCAAAGTCATGGCAGATTTTATGGAAAGTAACTAATATACATTATTGCAGCAGATATATTCCTAATTATGTTGTGTACGGGAATTAAGAAGGAAAATTCTTTGTATGTCCAGAGAACATGAACAAGCCTCTTTAGACTGTAGCCTCTTCTCTGATACAGAACTTATTGTGATCATATTCATAGAAAATGAAATAAAAGCTAGCAATTTTCCAGTCTTTACTGTTTGCCTCTTCTCACTGATTAAATGCTGAAAGGAAGGATAACAGTTAATGTGTGTATTTATTAAGAACATTTTTCTATGACTTAACCCCTTAAGAGTAGTGATACTGAAATACCCTGTGTTTAGTGAATTAAACAGTAAGCTACTTTGTGATGAACTGCAAATAAATATGATTCATTTCATGTGATTCAAACAAAACTATTTACATATTAGAATGTGTAATACAGGTAGTAGATACGGAATTTTTACTCTTTGCTATCAATGACAGCACCAACTTAGGTCTTTTATTTGTACTTAAATCTGTCTTTCTGTCTTCATTAATAATCTTTTCACAGGGGCCAATAAGATGGATTAGCAGGTAATTGCCCTGCAAGTCTGGTAATCTCAATTCCATTCTCAGAACCTATGTTGTAGAGAACTCCCTCCCAAAAGTTGCCCTCTGACTTCCATAGATGGTGACACATGTGCCACTTCCACACCGACATGATCATCTGAGTGCACACACAATAAATGAACTCCTAAAAATAAAAAGGATATCTAGGTCATAGCTGTAGAAACTTATCAATTCTCTTACTCATTTCATTAGAAGAACTTTATTCATTATTATTATTATATTACATAAAAGTAAACTAGTGCCCTTAGCAACTAGTTGGAGGGCTAAGCAACCCCAAAAATCCATTTTATATTAAGTGTATTGCTTTTCCCTTTCAGGAGATTGTAAGAACAATGTTCTCATACCAGGAACCATTCAAGTAAATGGCCATGGAGGACAGCCATCGAAACTTGTGAAGAGAGGACCTGGGAGGAAGCCTAAGATAGAAGTTAACACCAGTAGTGGTGAAGTTACACACAAGAAGAGAGGCAGAAAACCCAAAAACCTGCAGTGTGCAAAGCAAGAAAACTCTGAGCAAAATAATATGCATCCCATCAGAGGTGACGTAGTTCCTTCTTCAACATGTAACTTTCTTTCTGAAACTAATGTTGTTAAGGAGGATTTGTTACAGAAGAAGAGTCGTGGAGGCAGAAAACCCAAAAGGAAGATGAAAACACAAAACCTGGATTCAGAACTCATAGTTCCTACAAATGTTAAAGCGTTAAGGAGAAGTAACCGGAAAAAAACAGATGATCCTATAGATGAGGAAGAAGAGTTTGAAGAACTCAAAGGCTCTGAACCTCACATGAGAACTAGAAACCAAGGTCGAAGGACAGCTTTCTATAATGAGGATGACTCAGAAGAGGAGCAGAGGCAGCTCTTGTTTGAAGACACCTCTTTGACTTTTGGAACTTCTAGTAGAGGGCGAGTCCGAAAGTTGACTGAGAAAGCAAAGGCTAATTTAATTGGTTGGTAACTTGGAGTGGAATATTGTGCTTCAAAATCTATAAAGCAGGTACAGTTAAGGAGAAAATAGAGCTACAGTTTCTGCTTCCTGGCTGCTATGATGGATTAGGGAATGCTACAATTTGACTTGGGAAAAAAGGAAAGAAAAAAAAAAACAAATTTAGAAGATAATTTACTTCTTTGAATGAAAAAAAGTCTATATACATATATATTTCAAATGTTTGCTATTTATTGCCCTTAGGTAGGTTATTCGTTTCCACATTCATTTCACTCACTATTTGAAATTGAGAACCTGTTACAAATTTCTGATTTATTTGGAGAAGAAACATCTCTGCTACATATTTCTAGTGATAGAGTGTTTCCTGTTAAATTGAGTTATTTTTGACCAAGTGAGGTACATTTTTACTGATAACAGAAGTCATGCCCCTTGGAAGAAAGATATTACACAGAGTAGCAGTACATTAAGAAACGTTTCCTCTAAAGATAACTTTAAAGTTCCCACCAATTTGTTATGCTGAAAAGTGTTGTTAGTTGTAGGGTATTCAACTACAGAATATCTAGAGGAAGCTTTTGTTTACTCCATTTCTGCCAAACTTAGGAGAAAATGTATTGATGCAAAGGAAACATATCCACATTGGAAAACATTTGACTGTCTAATTTTTCAGACCTTGATTCTTATATCAGTCACTCTATCTCTGTTTATTGTGCCAAAGACTGAGAATCAGTGCAGTTGGAAAGCCTGTTTTTGACTGTCAGAACAGCATACACTTTTCAATACTGGAAAAGCTATATATTCTAAAGAGCAAGTTATTACTGAATTATGCTGAGTTGTATCTTTTTTTGGTACTAAAAGTAGGAAAATAATGCACTGGTGGGTCCTTTGACAGAGATATCTTAGAGAAAATGTTTTAAGTGGTTAAAGGATTCAAGGAAAATACAGAAAAAAGTATGGATTTGATGTTTACTTAATCTGGATTGTTGTCATTTTTAAACTTCAGACATATCCAATAGGCTAAAATGACTTACAAAGAACCATGTCTGTGTGCGTGTGTATATTGATAAATGGGTGTGATTGAATATATATACAAACGCATACTTAAATATTATTACCCAGGTATAAATTCTTTTTTCAGGATTTTTTAGATAGTAGTAAAATAAAAATAATTTTAAAATGTCATACTTTATAGTTTAATTTTAAGGAAAAGATTGGTTATTTTCAATTATTAAAAGTTAAAAATAGGCCAAATCACTTTTTATGCAATCATGTTTTATACAGTGGTCTCATTGCACATTGTGTTTTTTCTGCACTTTTTATGGTATCCTTATCACGCTGGTAACTCAATATACACTCTAAAGAGAAACTCCCATTTAATGATTGTGCCTTGTATTCTATTATTTTTTGCATCATTAGTAAAATTAAGTTGTCTATTGTAAATGATAACTATATGACTTAGGAGAATGTATTGCTATATGTACTGCTATGGAAAAGGAAAGCAGTTATTTATTTGTTTATGGTACATTAGTTATTTTATACCTTGAAAACCAACATAAATGCCATTTCTATTGTTTAAAATCACTTTTTAAGTTTTAAGAATGTAGTATTTTCTGAGGACTAATATGGTACAAAAATGTATCCAAAATTTTCAAATACTACATCTTTTAAAAGGAGGGATGGGTAAAACACAGATCAGCATGACCCTAATATAGAGAATAAAGTCTTTAATTGAACCTTGGCAAAATATGTAACTAGATTATATAATTATTTCCTTGTTTCCAATAAGGATAAATGTTGACTGTCATTTAACTGTCTTGAGGAAGAATGAAAAGTGATGCATTTGGGCTTTTTAGATCATTTGTAATGAAATTTGTACAGAAACCCTCCAGTGACACTAAGTGAACCACTCTCCAGACCTTGACTGGATTGCTGTGACTTTACAGTTGAAAATAATTTCAAATTTTTTAGGTTTTTTGTACATTTATTTTTTTCTAACAAATATATTGAACTATATAATTAAAATTAAGTAGTTAACTCTTCATAATACAGAAATGAATGACATGTTTATAGAAAAATGAGTCAATTTCACCATTACTGAAAATGATAGTGTGTATGTTGGAAATTTACGTCACTAAAGTAACTAGTTGCTTTTGAAGGGGATCTATTTGAAAAATGTAATTTCCTGATGTTATCTGCATTGTTTAGAAAAATAGACGTAATCCATTTTTATAAAAAAAAAAATGTAGTTGTAAGGTGTGTTAAATATAAGGAAGCGCACAGCCTTCGTGTGGAGGACCTCTAGAATGGTGCATGAGTAGTTCCAACCTCTGAGCAGTGAAATAAGTATTTCCATCTTTCCTATAATGAGGAAATATGTTATTTCTGTTTTAAAGACACTATATTTATGACCATATTTGGACATTTTTAGATACTGGTTTCTTAGTAAAGCAAAATGACTTGGATCACATTATTTGTAACTAAAAAGATATATTGATACCCCGTACAAATTTTATATTTTTATAATTTAGCTTCTGTGCGTTGCAAAAGTTGAATTATGAATTTAAGTCATTATCATTGGGTTGTTACTACTGTTTGGAAAAGTCTCATCTTGTGTGCACTGCTTATAGACTAGAAGGAATTGTTGGCACTTGTCTTGGTAAGCAATAAGAAGTTTACTGAAACTTTCAGAAGCAAAATTTAATCTATGTATGGAACATAGATACCAATTTTTAGGCTTTCAGTAGTCCATGGCTGTATTCCCAGCATTTGGGGGTGGAGGCAGGAACATCAGGAGTTCAGAGTTACCTCTAACTGCAAACCAACTTCAAGACTGTGGGTTACAACAGCAACAGCACCAGAAAATTCTAATACCATATTGTTACCTTATGCTATCCTAACTTCACAAAGCCCAAACTTAATAGAATTTTACTTGTCACAGGGTAGTTTAAAGACTAGTGTAATAACAGTCTACCAGCCTTTGGAGGTAGAAATGTAGCTTCTCAAAGTTTCCTCTCTCACAGTCTTTTGTAAAGCAGTCTTTGTCTTCTGCAGTTGTTTTCACTACAATTCAAAAGGCTGTTGGGTTACTACAGAACTGTCTTACTCTAATTAGAGAACTATGGAGCAGTTGTTAGGTGGTTAGGCCATGGTGGAGATACAAGATCGTTGGTAATTACATAAGACAGTAGACAGCAAACATAGTACCACATCATCCTTATTAGAACTATCCTTTAGCTACAGCGCAGTGGACTAGCCAGAACCTTCACAGGGGAATGGAAATAGTTTGACCTTGCATGTTGTAAGCAGCATTTACACAAGTTTCAGTTGACAGCCTGCAGGTTTGACATTCCATTTTATACATCCATAGCTATCTATAAATCTTTCTCAAATATAAGGTGAAAATAAATGGTTTGAAGCTTTCTACCTTTAAAAAAAGTAATTTTTAATATTTTGTTCACCTGAAATTTATTTTTTGAGTAGGTTGAAAGGACCAAGATACTTGAGTGATTAAAGGGCTATTATCAGTGTTCATCCTATAAGCAGGAGCTGTAGTATTTTATAAAAAGGGTGAGGGGAATAACCTATGTGTAGAATGCATTACTCCCATTTTTATCCAGAAGATATTGCTAACAGTAGTAGCTTGATTAGGTGATAAGTTGTCTCATGTTAAAAATTGGGGAAAGTACAGCTTTTGTTTCCATCAGGAAAAAAGGGTGGGTTTGGCAGACTTACGCTAGTTTCCCTGATTTCTAGGTGACTTGAACTAAAATTAATGCATTTACTCAGAAACTATTTTGTTTTTAATTATACTCATCAAAGTGCTCCGAATAAAAGTCATTTTGAACTATGTACATTACCCCAGGAAGAGGTCAGATTGAAGAAGACTGTAAGTACCACTTTGAGCGCTCTGGAGGTGAACCTGCACACAGTACAGTGAGTAGACTATCTGAGCTATAAATATATTTTTTAGTTTCAATAGCTCTGTTTTGAAATACTTTTTTAATGCAGATAAAAATATCAGGAAATTAACCTTATATGGCACAAACCAAATACATAGTAGTATATGGATGAGTTTCTACATTTAAAGAGCTAAGAAGATAGGTTCAGGATTGTATTATAGTACATGCACTTACAAGGCAGATGCACACACATGCTAATTACTTCAAGGATGTGCGTGTTGGTTTTTCACAACAATAAATGAAAAATGCAATGTTACATTTTGACCATATTGAAGATGCAAGAAGAGAGGTCTTAAAAAGTTATTAAGAAAACTACTAAATCCCACCATGGGATATTTAGATGTGTAGAACATAGCTCAGTTTTTCAAAAGCAACTGACCTAAAGGGTTAAAGTTGTAACTGACACATTTCAAATTAAAATTATGTTTATTTTGTACAGAAAGCAATGTTAAACACAGGCAGATCTGTTGTATGTAATAAGTGACAGAGTTTTAAAATTATTTAGCTTTATTGATGTTTTGTTTTATTTCTTCTAGACCTGGAATACCATGTCATAAACGGCAGTCTTGCACCACGGTAGCAGGCCCTTTCGTTTTGTACATACTGATTGGACCTTTCTTTACTGTTACGTGGACACTTTCTATGTTAGTTTTGATGCATAATTCTTGGAATCCTTTTATACAAACTAGAATGTATGTGTAAGAATTCCTGTCCCTGCAATGTAGTAACTATAAACTTATTTTTAAATAAATAGAAAACTTGTTTTTCTAAGCCATTTTGTAGAGCCTCATGATTTCTTTGCTTCTTTGTTTTGGTTAGTTTTGAACAACATAAAGCACCTGGTACGTACTCCATAGGCAACTTACCAAAGCAATTGTGATATAGAAGCCATTATGTAAATTCTGGTTCGTTAGAGATTCCATTTTTCTGTCTATTTGTGTAATGTTAAAACCACTATCAAAGATTTCAAGCACCTAATGTAATTCCAGAGTGACTGAAGCTTAAAAATAAAGACTCCTTTGCCTTTCTATGTGTCTATTTAGAACAGTTTTATTGGTTTGTATGTAAGTTACTACATTGGCGATAATTAAATATGACAGTTTTATGATGGCTACATGTCAAGGAATATTTGCATAAACATTTACTTAAAGCTGAAGCTTTGTTAAGGCATTTATGCAGATCTGTAAGAATGTTGTTTTATAGGTTGGTATAGTGGCGCATGCTTTAATCCCAAACGAACAAGCTGCTGAATTCCTAGAGGGTCAAGGCTGAACTGCTCCTCCAGCCATGATGCATTCAAAAGCATTTAAAAGTGGATCCATTAGTCACAGCAGTTCTGGCACAAAGGACAAGTTATGAGAAAAGCAAAACTAAAAACATGCATGAGTGCATAAAGACTGAAAAGTTCTTGTGTTGTTTTGGAGTCTAGAATGTCATGTGCATGATCAGGGCTGAATATTTGCTCAGAGAATACCCTAAGTTTTCACCTCTTGTAACTGTAGTTTACACATAAGCAGGAAGTGATGGCTGAAGGAAGAGCAGAGCTAACCTCTTCGTAAGCACTGAGGTTGTGATGACCAAAGCCAGTGTACACATAGTGAAGAGTTGGGGTGCTGATTTTATTTAGGCTCCGAAGAGCCAGATCTCAGTGCAGTTAGTAGCTGATCATTTACAAATAGACTAATGGAAAAGAGAGTCTAGGGGACCCTGCATGACAAAGGATGCAGTCTTTACAAAAGGAATGTCTCCCAATGGTGGTAACCTGTAGCAAGTGCTCAAAAGGTAAGATTGCTTGAGTAATAAACAAATGGCTTTGTAGAATAGAATCATCACTTCATCATCTTTCCTTGAATGGAGAAGATTTCAGACAGTTGGTTGGACAAAGTTACAAGTTAATGTGTAGCACTGCTTAATCTGGGACTGATAGCTAAAACGTTAAGTGTCATGAGAATCTATGCTTAACTGAAATCTTACACACAAATTAAGCGTATTTCATCACTTTCTGCTTACCTGTGATACAGAGACACACTATTAAATGATTGTGCCATGTTACCCGGAGGTAAACTCTGGACGGCTTTGCTCCTGACCGGAGCTGTGTTTTAAAGGCTCTGAGGCCCCTGTTTAGCTGTTATGTATAAACCTGCTAATCTCGGTGGCAATCACTGTCGTTTAATAAAAACACTTGGAAAAATTTAGATGTATTGCTGTCATTACTATTTGAGAACCAAACATTCATTAAATTCCCATAGTAGTAAAAATAGCTTTTTTAAAAACAAATTGTAATGCTAATTATTTCACTGAAAGAAAAAATATAACAAATGTTAAGTAAAACCAGCAAAATTTGCAGCAACTGATGTAATCTTATTAGCTAAATGCATAGATCTGGTTCAACAGGCAACCAGCAATCCAGCAAGCAACAGGAGCAGGAGCAAACATCAACCAGCAATAGCAGCAAGAGCCACAGGGCCAGCAGCAGAAGGAACAGCAGCTGCTACAGGCAGGATTCCAAATGTAAACTGTCTTCAGCTGGCAAAATCACACCCCTGCTAGAGTACGAGGTAAATCAGAGTCAGCTGCTCTGGACGGTCCAAAGCAGTCCCATGTCCCACACCTGGGATTAAAACAAAAACATTCCCATAACATTTCTGTGTTTTTAAAGAAACCAGAAATTCTCACTACATTTCACCTTTCTGATTTAAGTCATTAATTGTACTCTGTTTAGTGAGAAATAAACAGACATTTTCAATGAACTGAATGCTTTTTGAATCTGTGGTCAACATTTTCCGAAGACCTCAATTTTAATCTATAAGTTTTGATGGTACCCATAACTTTGATTTTCTATAGAAACAAAGCATTCCCAAAACAAAACCACTGCAGTCTCCCACTCTGATGTTAACATATCCTTAAAGTATATAGGTTTAATTTCAGTTTTTCTATTCCCCAGTGTCTCTCGGCGCTCTTGGTCATTTTTCATTACCATTCAGAAAGTTCAAAGTTAACAAAGCATTAGTCTATCCCTGGGCGTCTTTACTCTTCTGTTTTGTAGGTATTTCTTTTAAAGTATAATTAGACCTTTCTACAACTGTTTGTCCTGTAGGATTGTGTGGTATACCCATAATGTGCTTTTATATTATAACAGGCAAATAAGTGATTCATTTTACTGGAGACATGCAGGAGCATTGTCAATTTATGCAGGTATCCCTATAATAGTCATTACTTCCAGTAAATGTGTAATTACAGAATCAGACTTTTCAGGACTCAAAGCAGTTGCTCCTTGAAACCTAAATATGTGTCAATGGTATGGTGTACAAATTTTAGTTTTCCAAATTCTGCAAAATGAGATACATCCATCTGACAGATTTTATTTTGGTACCCCAAGAGTTACTTCCAGTGGTAATGGAGTTTGGTTATACAGAGAACAAGAAGGATATTTTCTTGTAATATCCTTCGCTTGTTAACAAGTGATAGAAATTTTTTCTTTAAGCCTTTACTCTTTTTTTTTTCCATGAAATTTTTAAGGCTTTTAACACATTTTCTATTAACGATGAATTTTCTCATTTCCATGTACCAGTGGAACTGGCAAAACCTGTATGAGACCATATATGGATTATATACAATGGATAATTTCTAGTTCTGATTGCCTTTTGCAGGTGCATAAATAACAGTTAAACAGGAATAAATAAGCAATTTCTGTATGCAAAATAACTCTCCATATTGGGAGTCAGTAATTAAGGGATTCAGAAAAAGCTAATAATACCGTAAGAATTGCAGACAACTCTGATTTTTTTAACTGAAGCATGGGAACATTGACATATTTGGCTTATTTTGTCTGACTTAGAGCCTGTCACTCCTAACTTATTTATATCAGTGTAGAATATAGGTGCTTCAGGAATTAGTATTTCCTTTACAGTACATTTAGATCTTTTTATAAACTGAAGAAGCTTGCTTTTAGGATATTTGTTGTTAACTATTTCTCCAAAATAGTTACTACAAGCTCTTTTCCAGTCTTCATTGATTACCCATAATTACATAATCTCAGCATTAGTTAAAGGCACTACAATTTTGGCTGAGTACCTTAGTGACAAATGATGTGGTTTTATTCTACCTTTTATAATTAATATTACTTTGTGTGCTTAAAAAAATCAGTTTCATAATACTATCTTCCCTTTGCATAATGAGCCCAGTAGGAGAATGAGTTGAAGGTAAAATAACCAAAATCCAATCAAGTTTAGGATCTATTTGATCCACATATGCATCTTGCAGTCTCTGTTCTACCAGTTAATTCTCTTCTGCTTCAGCGGCTAACCATCTTGGACTGTTTAAATCAGAATCTCCTTTTAACATTTGAAACAAATGACTTAACAGTAATTAATCCAATTGAAGGACATAGCCAATTAATATCTCCCATTAAATTTTGAAAATCATTAAGAGTACCTTTTATAACTGAAGTTGTTGTCTACTTACTTTATAACCCAAATAGTTAATGAAGTTTTCTCCCTGTATTTTTTCAGTAGCAATCTGTAACCCCCAGTGTGGCAGAATTCTTTTGTGTTTCCTTAAACATTTTTTTCTTAAGTATCTGTGTCAGAATCAGCCAACAAAATATCATCCTTGCACTGATAAATAATGGATTGAGGAAATAGTCTATAAATTATTTCTAGCAGTGTTGCACAAAACATTGACAAACTTGGGCTATTTAACATTTTGTGTGGAAGCACTTAATGATACCTTTTTACTGGACCACTATTACTATAAGTAGGTACCGAGGAAGCAAACCGTTCCCTATCCTGCTCATGCAAATGGATTGTGAAAAAGCAGTTTTTTTTTTTTTTTAAGTCAATTACTATCATAGATGTTGATTTGGGTTAAAAAAAAAAAAAAAAAAAAAAAGGTAAAGAAATTCTCTAAAGGACCCATTGGTTGAAGTACTCTATTTGCCACTCTTAAATCTGTTAACATCCTCTATTTTCTTGACTACTCTTTTATAACAAACGGGAATTCCGTGGACTGGCAGACTTCTGTTTGTTGAGCTTCCAGGTGTTCTACCAGCTACTTGGGTCCCTGTAAATTCTCACCCCCCCTCGCCCCATTAGGGCCATTGATCGTTCCACACAGGCTTGTCAGTCAACCATTTAAGGGATAGGGCCCTTATAAACTTGGAAACAATTCCTGAGATGTCCTGTGTTTGGACAATTGGCACTAGGATTATTTTTAAATGATATACAGCAATATCTTTCCTAGGAACATTTACCATTTCACCTTTAATTTCATCATGAGCTGTCTCTGGGCTTGCAGGAATATTAATTTTAGTACACCATTGTCATAAAAGATTCCCATAAGTTTGAGTATGTCAGCTACATAAGGTCTTAACTTTCCTGTTTGATCTTCTGGTCCCACACATTTAGCCCCTCAAATGCTTTCTTTTATTTGAGTTGCTTTACCAATTTATATTTATAAACTCTGTATAAAGCTGAAGTGGCCATTCTGAATTCCCAGATTTTGGGGAAATGATAGTCACATCAGCTCTTGTATTCATCAAACCTATTTCAACACCATTGACTGCAATTTTAATTTTGACCTCTGATCATTAATCACTGTTTGATCACACATTTTCCAGTATTTCCAAACCCTCCTGTTCTTTCTACTGGAGCAGCTTTCCCTTTAATGTAGGGAAATAATAGCAGCTGAACAATCCCACCACCTGTGTTAACTTCTCTCTCTCTCTCTCTCAAGCCATAATTTTAAATTTTCCTTTGAAATCCCATTTTCAATTCCTGGATACACAATAAATTGTTGGGAAGTCCATCCACTTCTTTCCAAGATCATTTCTACTGTCCCTGAGGACAAAGGACTATAAACTCCAGTAGATATTTTGTAACACTGAATTTTTAGGGTTAGGACAAGAGGTTTATCTGTGGCCAAATCTAGAGCAGCACTGCTTACTTGTGTGGATGAGATCGGCAATACTTAGTTGCATTTTTCTGCCTGCTTGTTATTGCCTGATGGACCATAAGGAAAAAAGTGGGCT